CATAAACACATAATTAATTACTGATAAATATGACACATGTTTTGGGGTCATTACACATGTTGCCATGAAAGCATGCTTTCCATGAGGCTAACTGCTTATTTGATATAACTGCCTAAATGCCTGTGGGTGAAGGTTGGATTGCTTGAATTGGAACAATTCATTGAAATCCGCGATTTAGCCTACTTTCGAGTAGCAACTTTAAACCGTTTTCAAATGAACAGGCAATGCTTTGTTCCAAGTTAGGCGATCTAGTCTATACTTGTATGTTGTGCGCATCACGTAGTAATTCGAGGTTAATAACCGGAATAAGAACACATGTTGTCACGACCCAAACCCGCCTCGAGAAGGTTGGCATCATACCCGGCCAGTACTAAAAATTCCTGGTATCACATAGGCGTGCTCAATTTCGTTTTCTGAACCCATTACGGTCGTCAATTTCAGTCCCGAAGTTATAGTTCCAACAGATATTTTTCCAATTCAAACAGATATTCTTCAATTAATTCGCATAAACACATAATTAATTACTGATAAATAGGACACATGTTTTGGGGTCATTACACATGTTGCCATGAAAGCATGCTTTCCATGAGGCTAACTGCTTATTTGATATAACTGCCTAAATGCCTGTGGGTGAAGGTTGGATTGCTTGAATTGGAACAATTCATTGAAATCCGCGATTTAGCCTACTTTCGAGTAGCAACTTTAAACCGTTTTCAAATGAACAGGCAATGCTTTGTTCCAAGTTAGGCGATCTAGTCTATACTTGTATGTTGTGCGCATCACGTAGTAATTCGAGGTTAATAACCGGAATAAGAACACATGTTGTCACGACCCAAACCCGCCTCGAGAAGGTTGGCATCGTAACCGGCCAGTAATCTTAGATTACCACAGGCCTTTCTGTACAAACATACATAACCGGGGCTCGCGGAAGCGAAAACAAACACTAATAGTCCAAAGAGCTGTGCATTTATATGAACATACATTACATGCCAAAAATGTTAATTTACCCACTACATTACATCACATATAATCAAAATTCATGTACAAAACATAGGCTCACGCCACATGTACAGCCAAAACCAAGCTTCCTAATGGCCTTCGAGGCCTAGCCCCATCTCGGAGGCACCAAAACACCGGGTAGGCTTCAAAACGGCGGCTCAGCTCGGACTCCGCCTAGGCTTGACTCCCAGAGTGCTCACCTATAAATACATATACAAATAATGAGCTAAAGCTCAGCAAGTAACATTAAAGTAAAGGGGTAGTGAACGCATTCCACATTTCATATATCCATAAAGTAAATCATTCATAGACATAATCATCTCATATTAGAACATACATAATGGCATACTCCATAGAACATAACATTTGTCGTCCAACGACTAGAGTAACCAGTCCCGGACACCGATTAAACACATACCGAGATCTCGTAACCTGGTCCACTTAGGACTATCTATGGATGCCATACTAGATTCGCAAACTGGACATTCGTTCACAGAAAACATTTATCATTTCAAAACCATAGCATAACGTAGCACTTTTAAACATAGATCATACTAACATATTTTTACAGAAATGTTACTCACAGTGGGTTTCCAAAACCGATTGCACGGTCTTCGCCTCCTGACCTGCAATTATTAACATTAGAACACATTATCATAGAAGCAAGTGTTCATGCCATACTATCCTTACTTTACTCTATTTTATGATTATGAGATGCTAAATGATGCAAATGACATGTGAAAATCATGTAATTCAACTTCTCAAAATTTCCTGAAATAAGTCCCCCGCTCGAGCGGACTGCACAATTTTCCAAAACTGCTGGGAGGCCGATTTTCACGCTCGAGCGGGAATACCTCCGCTCGAGCGGACCACGCGAAATCCGAAATTCTGAAATCTTCCAAAGCTTGGATCTTTCCTTTTTGCAAAACCACTTCAAAATGATGAAACCCAAGTCCCAAAACACTTGACCAACAACTTAGATTAAACATCAAATCTCTCAAAACAACCCACATGAATCCTTTACAAGATCAAACTTTGAATTAAAATAGGAAACCATGATCATGTACATACAAGCTTCATTTCTTACATCCATGGAGGTTCTCCCTCAAATATGACAAACATGCAAGGAAACCATGATTTTGACCATGAACTTCATACTATTATGCCATAATCTTGAGATCAACATGCTAGAGGCCAAGAAGCAACAATCTATTTCATGAAAATCTTACCTTAGATGGTGAATTGGAGAAGTTAGCTTGTTTTTCCCCCTTTGCTTCTATCTTCTTCCCCTTGGTTTCTCTCTTCCACGAATTCACTCTCTCTCTCCTTTCCAGATTTTTTTTCTTCTCTTTTGTTTTTGAGTCAAACATAGGTCAACATCCTTATCTTAAGTCATATTTATAAAATTGTGCCATAAACTCAAGCCAAACGGGGCTTAACGAATCAGACGAAATTCAGTCCTCAATTTATCGTCCCAACGGGTTCTAAAATTTCCCGGTATCACATAGGCGTGTTCAATTTCGTTTTCCGAACCCATTATGGCTGTCAATTTCAGTCCCGAAGTTGTAGTCTCAACAGATATTTTTTTTTTTTCCCAATTCAAACAGATATTCTTCAATTAATTTCATATGAACACATAATGAATTACGGATATTTGTGACATGCGTTTCGGGGTCATTACAGTACATCCCCAGTCAGAGACATCTGCAGGCTGGGACGATGACTCTAGTTCTGGTTCAGAGGGCGGAGGTGACGCCGATGAGGCTTCCGAGGATGGTAACTCTGATTCAGACGGAGATGCCGATGATGGTGGCGCGGGGGCTGCTCAGCCGAAGAGGGGGACGAGGGCCTCTCAGTCTTGAGCTTGACAGCGCTGATGCGGATGCTCCTGCTTTATTTTTCTTTTTACATGTAGTTGTAGCACATTGTACAGCTTAGGTAGTTTTATTTTCTTTCTCTTCAAAACTCATACTCTTTTGTAAAATGTTGTAAAACGAAGCTATGATGGAATGAAAATGACTTTTTGTTCAAAAGTCTTGTACTTTACATTCTAAGCATCGCATCGCACCATTTTGCATAAAAATGGAATCGAAATGGAAATTGAACCTCGTGTATTACCAAGTTAGGTAATGAACCGACACAACAAACTAAACAACTTTTCTTACTAAGAAATAACAAAACCTTAGCAAGTTTACAACTCAATAAGCAACGAGCAACAACTTGATAAACAAAGAGCAACAACTTGATAAGCAAAACTTAACAACTCGATAAGCAAAACTTAACAACTCGATAAGCAAATGCATTTTGGACAAACAGGGCGACAGACCGCATCCGAAATAGAGGTAAACTCAAACCTTCAGCACTATCAGCACACAGGAAAGCTAGAGACTCTCTTTTGGAGACAAAACACAGCTGGAGACCAACTTTTTGCACATGGCCGACCACCATAGGAGCTAGCCAACCACTTTCTTCTGCTGTAGGCCAAAAAGGTGGCTGGCGGACCAAAAAAAGTGGTCAGCCGACCACTTAATCTGGGAACCTCTAGTTTTCTGACACTTGTCCTCCAAACAGTGTCTTATCCTTTATAAAGGTTCCAGCTTCGTGGTTCCCTCATTCCAACTCAGTTTTGCACCAAAATGGAGGCCTTCTTTATCCAAAATCTCACAAATTGGATTGCTTCCTTGGATGGCTCGGAAAAGGTGAATTTTCGGGGCTTTGGCATAAATGCACTATTCACATTAAGTCGCACCCCGCTACGTTTTCCATTTCTTCATGTCGCGGTAAGGTTTTGGAATCCGGTAACACACATCTTTAGCTTCGGCGGACAAAAGGTATGTCCCACATTTGAAGACTTCTAAGCTTTAATGGAATCTGAATGCGATGAAAAAATTTTGCCGTAATTTCGCTTTGGCCATATCCAAGCCTTGGGGCCGATGTGCGGGCTTACTATGCATGACGCTCGGTCTTTGATCCGCGATGGAGCATTGGACATCCCCAGCTTAGTTCATCAGTTTTCTGATGCCGGTGACCGCAGAGATCATCACTGGCAGAGTTTTCATCGACATGCGCTTTGCTTGTGCATGCTATCTCATTTCTTATTTGCCTCAGGCTCCGGAGGGTTTAGCATCCGTTTGATCGAGATTGCCGAGGGCTTGAGAGAGGGCAAGAGCTGCATTGCCATGACACTAGCTGAGACATTGATGAGTTTTGATGCTTTTCATCGCCAAGAGACTACTAGATTTGCGGGGAGTCCACTACTATTACAGGTAATGTTTCCTACCCCGTCTCAAGTATATTCCTCACATCACTCCGCCCTCAGGCTCAGTTTTTCTCTCAAAACCCTTTTCTTACTTTTCTCTCCACGTACACCTCTCTATTCTTTAATCTCTCATTTTTTATCCCTCCCCAGATATGGTTGATGGAAAAATTGAAGATTGTGGACTCATGCCTAGTATACTCAGCTCGCGGCTATTTCTTCCGGCGACGTCTAGTCAATGCCCTTGATGAGGGTTGGTGGTACGACTGGATGTGCAGTTTGTCCGCAGACGGCATTGCTTGGTGCTGTCCTTGGCTCAATTTACCGGCAATGAGTTACAGCATGTCCCGGCAGATCGGGATTCAGTTGATTGGCCTGACACACTACGTGTTCTACTTTCCTTTCCGATTCCGGTGTCAGTTCGGACATGATCAGACTTGCCCGGCAGAAGGGATAGAGTATCTCGCTACATTTTCAGTTTAAGGCACGCAGTTGGCTTGGTATGCCACGCCATGAAGGACTAGAGAGCTTCTGGGCCCCGCTCCCACTTTCAGTTGCACCCTCTCTGATGAGTGCACAGCTTGGCGTGATGAGGAGGCACAGGTTGGGCCCACTTTGATATCAGAGGCTTCGACCAGCTCTGGGAGGCGGCGCAGGAACACCTAACTTATCCATGCCCCGAATTTATTGCTTTATCAGTACTTTCAAGTTTTCTTTATGAATGTAATAAAAAGTAACTTCAATTTGTATGCAAGAGTAGGGGAACTCTGTGTTAAAATCAATGAAATTGAAGGTTGTGGGTACTGAAAATTTTTCATTTGGTCAAAAAATGATCTAAGTTGTAAAAAGATTAATTTGAACAAAATCAACTTTTATTAAAACTATTCAAAACCATTTTCGATATGGATCAGAACTGGACACGCTGAATAGCACCGCACTGGAGATCACAACCGAACTCTTGGATGCAGAATAGACAAAGATGACCAACATGATCACATGGACAAAGTTGATCGGGGAAGTGTTTATTGCTGAACTTCAAGATGAAGTTGCCTACGTATCCCAAAGATGGGAATCAAGCCTTACATAGTTCGGCTTAGGTTCACTCGTGTATTAACTCTTTCCTTTTGCGCTCTAACTTTTGCCAAGGCCGCCCTTTCTGGGTTTTCAACCTTGCGAGCTCGGTTTTTATTATTTCAAATTTTATGTGCTCTAACTTTTGCCTAGGTCGCCCTTTCAGGTTTTCGGCCTAGCGAGCCACTCAAAGAAAATATTTCTTCAACTTGTCCATGTTGATCGGCTGGGAGAACTCTAGGCCATCTAGGTCCATCAAAACAATAGCTCCACCCGACCAGATAGACTTGATGATGTAAGGGCCAGTCCAATTAGGTCTGAACTTGCCCCTAGGATCATGGATGAGAGGTCGGTTGTCTTTGAGCACAAGATCCCTTTCTTTCAAATTCTTAGACTTAACCTTCGTGTTGAAAGCCCTGGCAATTCTTCGTTGATAACCTTGAACATGATATAGTGCTTTCAGCCTTCTCTCGTCAAATAGCATGAGTTCTTCGAACCTGCTCTGCTGCCAATCTGCCTTAGCTATCTGACACTTAGCCAATACTCGTAATGACGGAACCTCAACTTCGATAGGCAAAACGGCCTCCATCCCATAAACCAAGGAATACGAAGTCGCCCTAGTAGAAGCTCGAATTGAAGTCTGGTAACCCCACAGAGCAAATGGCAACTTATCTGGCCAATCCCGGTAGGTTTCCACCATCTTCTGCAGTATATGCTTGATGTTCTTGTTGGCGACCTCAACTGCTCCGTTGGTCTGCGGCCGATATGTAGATGACTTTTGAAAAGCCACGTTATACTTCTCCAACAAGTCGATCACCTCCTTCTTGAAGTGAGAGCCATTATCAGAAATGATCTCATTCGGGACCCCGTAGCGGCAGATGATGTTGTTCCTGATGAACTTTGCAACGTGCGATGCCTTCAACACCGCGTAAGATTGGGCCTCGACCCACTTTGTGAAGTAATCTGTCGTAACCAAAATGTACTCATGCCCGTTGGACCCCTTCGGGGTGACAGCTCCAATCACATCAATCCCCCAGACTGAAAATGACCATGGCGAAGTCATGTTGTACAGCTTCGACGACGGAATGTTATTGCGGTTTGCATGGATTTGACATTTGTGGCATCGCCGGACAAAACTAATACAATCCTCCTCCATGGTGGACCAGTAATAACCCTGTCTAAGGATTTTCTGGGCTAGCATCACCCCATTCATGTGCACTCCGCACTCTCCTCCATGGATGGCCTCCATCAGGCGCTTGGATTCTTTAGCATCAACACACAGCTTATGCATCCCGAGATTACCTCTCTTGTACAGTTTACCTCTGCAGACGATGAACTGAGCAGCCATTCTTCTAATTGCCCTCTTATCTTTGGCATTTTCCCCTGGTGGATACGTTTTCTTCTCCAAGAAGTTCCAGACGTCGTAATACCAAGGATTCTCATCTTGTACTTTATCTATGGCGGCGATCAGCTCGTAGGCAGACACAAATTTATGTTCGATGATGATCAGACGCATCCGGACTCCGAAAGGAATGTCTATCATAAAAGATAGAGTTGTTAATGAATCTGCGAACCTGTTGTTCTCTCTTAATAGATGGGTGAAATTCAGTTTCTCAAACCGAGGAATCAGCACGTCCAAGGTTTGGTGATAAATTCTCATCTTTTCTTCTTTGACTTTCCAATCTCCTTTAGCCTGAGATACAACAAGGTTCGAGTCCCCGATGACGTCCAACCGTTTTGCCCCTAGTTCTAGGACGACTTCTAAACAGGCAATACATGCCTCATATTCTGCCTCATTGTTCGATACTTTGAACCAGAGTTTGAATGCTAAAGGTATGCGAGAATTGTCGGGTGCTATCAGCAACACCCCTATCCCATACCCATATTGGTTTGACGCTCCATCAAAGTACATCATCCAAGTTTCATCTCCGACATGTAGAATGGCCTCATCTGGGAATAGGTACT